CCCCCCAGTGCTCCCAGGAGCTCCTTTTGCCCCCTCCCAGTGCTCCCAGTAACCCCCAGTGCTCCCAGTAACCCCCAGGAGCTCCCTTTGCCCCCTCCCAGTGCTCCCAGTAACCCCCAGGAGCTCCCTTCAGCCCCTTCCAGTGCTCCCAGTAACCCCCAGGAGCTCTCTTTGCCCGCTCCCAGTAACCCTTCCCAGTGCTCCTAGTAATCCCCAGTGCTCCCAGTAACTCCCAGGAGCTCCCTTCGCCCCTTCCCAGTAGCTCCCCGTAACCCCCAGTGCTCCCAGTAACCCCCCGGAGCTCCCCTCACCCCTTCCCAGTCCTCCCAGTACTTCCCAGTAACCTCCAGGAGCTCCCCTCACCCCTTCCCAGTGCTCCCAGTAGCTCCCAGTAACCCCCAGTTCCCCCCCAGTGGGCGACAAGGTGCCGGCCGACATCCGCATCATCTCCATCAAGTCAACGACGCTGCGGGTGGACCAGTCCATCCTTACTGGTGAGTGACTGGGATGGACTGGGGGGGGGAACTGGGTGGACTGGGATGGAATTGGGGGGACTGGAGGGAACTGGAAGGGACTGGGATGGACTGGAGGGGGAGGGGGGGGAAGTTGGGGGGGACTGGAAGGGGACTGGAGGGGATTGGGGGGGACTGGGATGGACTGGGAGGGGAGTGGAGGGAACTGGAAAGGACTGGGGTGAACTGGGAGGTGAGTGGAGGGAACTGGAAAGGACTGGGATGGACTGGGAGGGGACTGGAGGGAAGTTGGGATGAACTGGGAGGGAACTGGGGTGGACTGGGAGGGGAGTGGAGGGAACTGGGACTCGGGGGGGGACGACTGGGAGGGGACTGAGATGAACTGGGAAGTACTGGGAGGGACTGGGATGAACTGGGAGGGGACTCGGATGGACTGGAATGGACTGGGATGGACTAGAATGAACTGGGAGGGGATTGAGGTGGACTGGGATGAACTGGAAGGGACTGGGATGGGGCTGGGATGAACTGGGAGGGGACTGGGATGAACTGGGAGGGGACTCGGATGGACTGGAATGGACTGGGATGGACTAGAATGAACTGGGAGGGGATTGAGGTGGACTGGGATGAACTGGAAGGGACTGGGATGGGGCTGGGATGAACTGGGAGGGGACTGGGATGAACTGGGAGGGGACTCGGATGGACTGGAATGGACTGGGATGGACTAGAATGAACTGGGAGGGGATTGAGGTGGACTGGGATGAACTGGAAGGGACTGGGATGGGGCTGGGATGAACTGGGAGGGGACTGGGATGAACTGGGAGGGGACTCGGATGGACTGGAATGGACTGGGATGGACTAGAATGAACTGGGAGGGGATTGAGGTGGACTGGGATGAACTGGAAGGGACTGGGATGGGGCTGGGATGAACTGGGAGGGGACTGGGATGAACTGGGAGGGGACTCGGATGGACTGGAATGGACTGGGATGGACTAGAATGAACTGGGAGGGGATTGAGGTGGACTGGGATGAACTGGAAGGGACTGGGATGGGGCTGGGATGAACTGGGAGGGGACTGGGATGAACTGGGAGGGGACTCGGATGGACTGGAATGGACTGGGATGGACTAGAATGAACTGGGAGGGGATTGAGGTGGACTGGGATGAACTGGAAGGGACTGGGATGGGGCTGGGATGAACTGGGAGGGGACTGGGATGAACTGGGAGGGGACTCGGATGGACTGGAATGGACTGGGATGGACTAGAATGAACTGGGAGGGGATTGAGGTGGACTGGGATGAACTGGAAGGGACTGGGATGGGGCTGGGATGAACTGGGAGGGGACTGGGATGAACTGGGAGGGGACTCGGATGGACTGGAATGGACTGGGATGGACTAGAATGAACTGGGAGGGGATTGAGGTGGACTGGGATGAACTGGAAGGGACTGGGATGGGGCTGGGATGAACTGGGAGGGGACTGGGATGAACTGGGAGGGGACTCGGATGGACTGGAATGGACTGGGATGGACTAGAATGAACTGGGAGGGGATTGAGGTGGACTGGGATGAACTGGAAGGGACTGGGATGGGGCTGGGATGAACTGGGAGGGGACTGGGATGAACTGGGAGGGGACTCGGATGGACTGGAATGGACTGGGATGGACTAGAATGAACTGGGAGGGGATTGAGGTGGACTGGGATGAACTGGAAGGGACTGGGATGGGGCTGGGATGAACTGGGAGGGGACTGGGATGAACTGGGAGGGGACTCGGATGGACTGGAATGGACTGGGATGGACTAGAATGAACTGGGAGGGGATTGAGGTGGACTGGGATGAACTGGAAGGGACTGGGATGGGGCTGGGATGAACTGGGAGGGGACTGGGATGAACTGGGAGGGGACTCGGATGGACTGGAATGGACTGGGATGGACTAGAATGAACTGGGAGGGGATTGAGGTGGACTGGGATGAACTGGAAGGGACTGGGATGGGGCTGGGATGAACTGGGAGGGGACTGGGATGAACTGGGAGGGGACTCGGATGGACTGGAATGGACTGGGATGGACTAGAATGAACTGGGAGGGGATTGAGGTGGACTGGGATGAACTGGAAGGGACTGGGATGGGGCTGGGATGAACTGGGAGGGGACTGGGATGAACTGGGAGGGGACTCGGATGGACTGGAATGGACTGGGATGGACTAGAATGAACTGGGAGGGGATTGAGGTGGACTGGGATGAACTGGAAGGGACTGGGATCCCTGTGCCACCTCCGTGTGTCACCGTATGTCCCTCGTGTCCCACCCCACGTCCCCTGGTGTCCCCACTATGTGTTCTTCATGTCCCACCACACGTCTCTTGGTGTCCCCACCACGTGTCTTCCGTGTGCCACCATATGTCCCTTGTGTCCCATCCCACGTCTCTTGGTGGCCCCACCACGTGTCCTCCCTGTGCCACCACCGTGTGCCACCGTACGTCCCTTGTGTCCCATCCCATGTCCCCTGGTGTCCCCACCATGTGTTCTTCGTGTCCCACCACACGTCCCCCGGTGTCCCCACCACGTGTCCTCCCTGTCCCACCATGTCCCTTGTGTCCCGTCCCACGTCCACCGGTGCCCCCACCACGTGTCCTCCATGGCCCACCTCCATGTGCCACCTCCGTGTGCCACCACACATCCCCCGGTGTCCCCACCACGTGTCCTCCCTGTGCCACCACGTCCCTTGTGTCCCGTCCCACGTCACCTGGTGTCCCCACCATGCGTTCTTCGTGTCCCACCACACGTCCCCCGGTGTCCCCACCACGTGTCCTCCCTGTCCCACCATGTCCCTTGTGTCCCGTCCCACGTCACCTGGTGTCCCCACCATGCGTTCTTCGTGTCCCACCACACGTCCCCCGGTGTCCCCACCACGTGTCCTCCATGGCCCACCTCCATGTGCCGCCTCCGCGTCCCACCACACGTCTCTTGGTGTCCCCACCGCGTGTCCTACACGTCCCACCACATCCTCTGGTGTCTCCACCACATCCCCCATCTCTCCACTGTTGTCCCACCACGTGTCCCCCCCCGTGTCCCCACCACGTCCCACCTCCACGTCCCCACGG